ATAATCACTAGCTGATCTAGAACATATTTTTAGAAAGATATCCAGTCTTGGTTTAAAGTTGTCAAGTGACGGAGAATTCACCACATCCCTAGGTAAATGGTTCCAATGGTTAATTACTCTCACTGTTAAAAAATTGTATCTTATTTCTAGTCTGAATTTATTTTATCTTCAGCTTCCAGCCACTGGCTTTAGTCTAACAGACAATGGCAGAACAAAAGAGCTCTCTGCTTTCGGAAATCCCTTCCCCATGTAGGACTGTGATCAAGTCCCCAATTAACCTTTTGTTGTATAAACTAAATAGCTTGAGCTTCTCTAGCCTCTCGCTGGCAGGTTTTCCAGGCCTCAAATCATTCTTGTAGTTCTTTTCTGAAACAATCTTGCCAACAATCTTTTTTAAAATGTTGACACCAGAACTGGAATCAGTATCCCTGGAATAGTCTCACGAATGCTATGCCTTGGGGTAGTATCACCTCCCTATACCTACTCAGTATCCCCTTGCTTATGCATCCAAGGATCCCATTTGAATTGCCCTGTGAGAATATGTTCAGTCACAGAGGCACCCCCCGCCCTACACACACACACATAGAGGTGCTGAATTAAGGGGCTGCGAGCTTCCTCCCATCCATCCCTGCACTAGTGCAACCACGAAGCTGCCCTATAGATCACAAGCACTGAGCATTGTTCATTTATCCCATGGCTCAGCAAGATGTGTAGTGTCTGTAATTACAGCTGGGTGAATTAGATCCTGCTTTGAATAAGTCTACAGGAGTCTAGACTCTCATGACTAGCTAAGGTTAATGCAGTGTTGTGGTAGCCATGTTGGTCCCAGGATATTAGAGAGACAAGTTGGGTGAGGTAATATCTTTTATTAGACCAACTTCTTTTGATGAGATAGAGAGACAGAGAGAGAGAGAGACAAGCTTTTGAGTTTACACAGAACTCTTCTTCAGATCACCTGAAGTTGGTCCCAGAAAAGAGATTCCCTCAGCCACTTTGTCTAATAGCCAAGGTTAAAGCATTTTTCAATTCCAACTTTTACCATTTTATTTGAGGGTAGGGGGATGGAGTTACAGCAGAAATGGTATAAGGTGGTTGTCTGTTAATCCTTCCCAAGTTCTCAAAATATTACAAGCTCACTCGCCATGTTTAATAGATGCAACCTCTACTTGGTGGGGGCAAAGGGCTGTTTGTCTTGAACTCCATATGTATGTTTATGAGGGAAGTAGGAAGAAGGGAGAAAAGTGTACAACCTTTTCTCTTCTCAGCCTCTCCACCTGTTCTCCCCTGTTAGCTTGAGTTAGAATGGTTCATAACTTGGTTGGGTACTGCTCTTCCGGCAGATAGGGCACCTGGAATGCAGAGACCTGAGTCCTAATCCTGACTCTGCCATTGACTCCTGTGTGGGACGTTGGACAAGTCCAACTTGGACTGTGCCTCAGTTTCACCATCTCTAAAATGGAGATAATGAGGCTGGTGAAGTGCTTGCAAATCTAATGAAAAGCGTGACCTAAGTGACAGGTAAAAGTAGTATTTTATTAGAACACTTACACTCTGCACCAGTATTTTGGTTATACCGGTGCAGATGTGTCTCAGGATTTATGAGAACATTCTCAGACAAGTTTTAGACATGTTTTAGAGAGCAGGGCTACCATTTTTTTTCACCTATGGAAATACTGGACTGCAGGAAAAAGGAGAGTAGATTAAAAGAAAACTGGGAAAGAGTGAGGTGCTCAAACATTCTGTGGTATGATTGGCCATTACCTGAACAATGGATGTCTGAAATAGTAGAAAGAAAAGGAGGACTTGTGGCACCTTAGAGACTAATAAATTTATTTGAGCATAAGCTTTCGTGAGCTACAGCTCACTTCATCGGATGCATTCAGTGGAGGAAGTTCACAGGGGGGAAAAAGGCTAGTCATATTTTTTTCTTTGTGTGAATATATTTTATGAAAGTAAGAAATTAAAGCGAGGTTGACAGAAGCAATGAAAGTTTCTTAACACAATTCTTCTAAAGTGTCCCAAGTTGTAATGGGACAATGATCTGAGGAACCTCCTGTATATTTGATCTATCTGTATCTATTTTGTGGGAATGTGATTTCATATGAATATGCATGTTTTGTTGTTTTGTTTGAATGTTAATAGTTTGCATTTATTTCTTTGTGCATATATTAATATTTATTAGGAATAGCTGATGACATTTTTTCTGTCCTTCACAGTATCCCTTTGCAAAATGTTGCTAGTTGCTAACCTTTTCTCACAGAGCTCTGTGTTCCTGGTATTAAGTGGCCAAGGTTTTTTTTGTTTGTGTACACTATTGTTCAGATAGGAGGGTGGCTATACATTTTGTTCTTTTCTTGTTTTGAGGTAGCATGTTCTAGGGGACTGGGAATTGGTAGCTCCTGAATTCTAATCCCAACTCCCCTACTAACTAGTTTGTGACCTTGGACAGTCACTCAATCTCTCTTCTTTGGTCAGTTTCTCCATATTCAAAATAGAAAAAAGCAAACTTACTTAGCTGCTTCGCAGGGAATTTGATACTTCATTGATTACTGTTTGTTCAGCACTTTGAAGCCACAGAAGATGTATACAGTAAATGCTAAATACTATTTTCTTCAGTGGCAGGAAAATCTTGGTTTCTGCATAAAAACCCATTGTCCTTTATAACATTAATATTTTTCCTCTGTGCCTAAATTTTCTATCCACTGAAACATCAGTAGCACAGAACTGTGTTATGAGAAGTGCTACATCCCATTGGATGTTGCTATAGTCATATAGAATGCTCTTTAAATCACTTTAGTGCCTCTTTTCAGAACTTTTACATTTAAAAAAATAATTTCTCTTAAGTCCTGATCCTGCAAATAGTTACTACTGGGTGTATGGCTGATTACTGTGGGTAGCCTGCTCACTGGGACTATACATAGGAATCAGTGTCGCACCTGACAGTAAGTTTTTGCAGGATCAAGCTGTTAGTCACTATGAACATTTTGTCCAAATCAGAACTCAATTAACACCTTGCTAAATGAGATATGTTCTACAGAAGATTGTACTCCATTATACAGAGTAAAGCTGGGCTGAGGTAATTCTTTAGGAGAATTAATATTAACTGTAAAAAGTACCTTTGTAGACTACTAATGCACTATAAATATAGTTAGTTTTGCAAAAGCGTAGTTCCCTTCCTTCACCCAAGTGTCACTGCAGGCAGTCAGAAAGTCATTCTGGAGTGCCTCTTCAGTGGAAAAGTAGGCATGAGAAGTTCTGAGAATATGGGGTAGATAAAAAGAGGAATCAAGTGACCCGAAAGAATACTCTGTGAAACAGCTTAAGAATATGTGGGCAAGAAGAGTATTTGGGGTTGCATTAACACCTGGCCCTGCTACTGGGGAAATGTATTTCAAGATAGTTAGTAGCAGGGTGAGCCTGAGGAGGACAGGAGGGCCAGAAGCAATGTCCTTAGATGTGGGGATATGTTTTGAGATGGATAGCAGAATCAGGATGGACAAGAAGGAATTGGAAAGGTCAAGGCTATGTTTTCATTAGATATTTCATGACATCAAAGTGTACTGTCCTGTGGATCCTGGAACTCAAATTATTAAAGTCACCAGTGGGATACAGAGCCAGGAGATATGACTTTTGGGAAACAAAATGGGGAGCCAAAAAGTGAACAACAGATACGGAAGGGTTTAAAAGATACTTATGGGGGGAGATAACATTTTAAAAAAATATCTCTGGAAACTTGAGGGAAATAAAGACAAGTGAAAGATACTAGTTTGCTACCAGCCAATCTGGGAGGACTTGCAGGTTAGCCCAGAGAAAGCCCATCTGCTTTTGCCAGTCACCAGAATGTTAGCAGTGACCTAGCCTGTCACCCTGCAAGGCATCCAGATTTCACACAGCAAAAGGTAAGGGCAAGAGTCACTTTCTTGCACACAGTTGTGTCTATTTGAATGCTAACTTTTTTGGACACTGATATTAAATTCTTGGTGTTGTCTTTAGCTGCCAGCTATGCTGTGTATATTGCGGTTAAACTATTGATGTACTAATTGCTAGCTATTTTAGAGGCTGCAGTTGCATTTCTCATGTGTTTAGTGCCTTTTGTTGCTGCCCGCTCAGGATACTGTGGGCAGTTCCCACATCTGGCGCTTATTTTAGTTGCTTGGCTACTATGAAATGTTATCTTAGCATTTCTTGTAGTGTCACAGTGGCTTTTCTCTATGGCATCCCCACTAAGGAAATACGCAAAAGGGGCTGACAGACGCTATGCCTATATTGTTCTGTTGCTTTTGCTACAGTTACTGCAATATGATCCTTACTTTACTGTTGTTAATGCAGGTTTCTTGTAAAATATTGGATGGACAGTATACGACCAATGCTGCCCATTTGATTAACTTCAGAGGGATGCAGTAGAGGGCAGTATTGGGCCCTAAATGTTTGAATGAAAGGGAATTACTGTTGGAGGGAGATGGTTGGTGATCACTTCACTTTACTCTCTTTCATTTTCCTCTATTAATAGCAACAGTGCACATGGAATTTTAAAGTTATTTCACTATTACTAATTTTTCCTGATTTCACACCCACCCAAAAAAATCTCTGTGAACCCTCTCGCTCCAATGTAACTCAAAAACCAAAATACAACTGGCCTTTTGACTGGTAAAAAAACAAACTGAAAGCAACCCATTTTGCCTCCTCTCTCACGTTTTTCCATTTATTTATTTTTGTTTATTTATTTTCTATTTACAGAGCTGGGTTTCACCAGCATTTCTGATTAAATTATTTTTATTGTATGCGCAGTGTGAAATCTCTTCTGAAGTCTCTAAATAAACTATATTTTTAAGTAAGTCCAAAAAATGTTTTGTCAACAAAGAAATGAAAACTGACTTTAGGTGCTGCCATTTTTAAACTGTTGTTGCTATCTTTTTCTTTTCATACTCTTATTCCTGCTTTTTGATGGTTGTAGTGCATTAATATTTACAAGATGAGATGCAGTTTTCTGTTTATGTTAGCAGTCTTCTGTCTGTGAGATATGGACCAACCAGAATGCAGGATTTCCTTTCTCATCGATGCATCAGGTTCATAATGTAAGATGCTGTAATAAACGGCTATGTTGTCACTGTATGGAAGTGTAATGTGTTGCCATGGTGTCGTTAGTACTTATATATGGGTGTCGTGTTGAAATTGCAAAACAATTTGTACTGTCTGCTGACGTGTGGGATTATGTGTGTGTACATTCATTTATCATGGTGTGTGATTAGTTTTATGTTGATTGTGTGACTGGAGATGAAGGAATTTTTAGTTCTAGAGTTAAGTTAAAACTTACCTCATTGTAGATTTGATGCCTGTTCCAGCACTTTTTGTTTGCTCATTTATTTTAAAGCAAGAATGTGTAAGTTGCTTAGTTTGTGCACCCTGTTTTGTGCATCAGCCTTCCTGTTAATAAGCAGGATCTACATTCCTCATACCTAACTGATGAACTTTGAGATGATGCCCTCTTTGCTGTGGCAGTAAGCCATTTTTTGTGAATTATATGTGACCTTGATAATGCCCCAAATTTATGTAATTTATGTGAAAAACTGTGCTATTCAAGTGATAGTAAAAAGTTATCTGTAACATGCTGTATGGAACACCCTCTTAATAGTTTACGTTTTCCCCATATATGATACTTTTAAGAGGCTCATGAAGGTCCCATACACATGACATGACTGCCATCTTGAATTACCTCTGTGGTAGAAGGATACCTCAGCTACCATTCTTTAGAAAGTTTCAGAGTTTCTTCAAGCATAACAAGAAACTTTTTGAATCATTTACAAATCATTTTGAATCATTTGAATCAAAAACAAAGATTTGAAAGGTTCTGAAATGGCCATAGGAAATCTATCTTCTGACTGTGGATGTTAAAAAAAAATTGAACTAGAGTTTTGACTGTTCCACAGAACACTTAAAATTCCTCCAGGGACAAAAATTTTAAAATTTCAGCTAAAAGCACTGTCTTGTGTGTGCTCCTGTTTATAGTCCTGGTAACTAATGCATAGCGCTGGAACTAAGGCACCTGGCTTTACTGGTGGACAATTACAACAAATAGTCTCAGTTAAAAAACAAAATTTAAAACCCTTTAAAACAGGCCTACTCTAGCTTTTCTGTGTCAAGTTTTGTACCTTCCATATTTTAGAAAGAGATTATGAATGGTTTAGAGAGTTTATAAAAATTGTTTGGGGATTACTTCTGACATCTCTGTCTCTGCAGTCAGATTCCTTAGTTACCTTGAGTCAAACTGCAGGAGGGAAAAATTAAAACTAACGTATGTGCAGCAATTCTAAAAATGGCCTAATAGTTTTAATCTACTTTTTCAGTGTCACTTAATTAATATCCAATAAATCAGTCTTTTCTAGGGCGAGAAGCAAGAATGGTGTGGTCCACTGGGAAGCTGGAAGTCTCCCCATTCCCAGTGATATAAAGTACTGTAGGAACATGAGATACCTGAATTCAAAGCTTTGACATTTATGGCCAGAAAATCCATCACTGACAAAGGACTGAATCTTGCCCCGCTGGACTTGGCTTGGCATAATTTTGTGAGGGGAAAATCCATATTTGTAGGAAGGAAGAGAAGGAAACATTTCTCTCTCAGGGTAGTTTAGGGAAAACAAACAAACAACACAGTAGCTGTTGGAAGCTGGGGCGGGGGGAGTGGTATGGAATGTTAAAATAAGCCCCAAGGAGACAGACTAGTGGGCATGGGATGCTACCACAAGCATGTGATAAATTGCTCTGGTATTTGACAAACTAAAGACATGTAATGAATAAATTTATCACGTGTCTCCAATTCATCACAGCGATATCACCTCCACATATATGGTGTGTTGTAATATGAAATATTTAGTTGTTTGGTTATCTCTGGGTCTTACAAATAAAAGTACTGAAATCAAAAGATTTATAAGAACATACGTGCTATTTAAAACTAAATTAAAGATGATAGGTCCAGTGTCGTAGCTTACAAATGGAGACCATTGTATTCTTTTTATAGTGGCTGAAGATGCATTAGGTACTTGTGAATGGCCTGAATCCCAATATACGGACCATGAGTTAGTATCCAAACTCACCCCTCAGGTTTTTTATTATTCGTAACTCAAACGTTTAAGCCTAAGCTTCCTCCTCAAGCCCTACAGTTTCCCTTTAGGATCTCCTCTTGCCCAAAGAGCTGCTTCCACTCCTTTATATCCTGGATGGAATAAACTAGACTCCCCTGCCAACATGACTGAGCTATAATTGTCCTAAATTTCAGTACAGCATTTTATTGACTCAACAGAAAAGCCCTTTATTCCTACACAGGGTCGTAGAGTCTGCCCTGTTACCCCACAGAATAAATAGAAAGACATGGTCCCCATCCTGAAGAGTTTACAATCTAACTTTAGACCTGATGGGACAAGTGAAGGTGAAAATCAGTAGGGAGACGATGGAGTAAGGATAGACAAAGGCTACTGCTCTGTTTATACAGGCATGTGTATTTGTTCCAGTCTAAGTATTTTCAAATAGTAACTGCTATTATTGACTTAGGAGAAATAGCGGGTATTGGCAATAGCGTTGTTTAAAATTATAAGGAGCTTGGTAGGAGGCAATCAAAAAGAAATGAGATGAAAATATAGCTTCAGCTGAATGCTAAAGAACACATGATATAGTTACAAAAGAGCATTACAGGGCTCTGTGGGTAACATGCCTTCTTTTTTCATCAATCAAAAATTATCCACGCATACAATGTTTAATTGTTTGCAGCATTTCTTAGTAGTTGCTATCTCTACGAGAAGATGCTGATTGGAATACACAAAAGGTCTTCAACTCCAATAGTCTGTCAGTAACAGCAGGTTTCTGTAGCTCTCTCAGCTGTGTTATGTATTTAGATCCACCATTCTAGTCCCAAGCACTTTTAGGGTAATTTTATCAATTTTTTTTATCTAAATTGAAAGGGAATAGGGTCTTTGTTTCTATGATTGTATTTATTAATAGAGTGATTAATACAAAGGAATGGTATCTGTACAGTCCCTCTGCAAGTGTGTCATACTTGATCTTTATTGTTTCATCTGAAGATTATTTCTTATTTCCTCAAGATTGTTGCTTCTTAGCTCCTTTATACATTAGACCTGTCTGTTAGCAATATTCACTGTTTCTCCTGCCACTGCTCTCCATTCAGAGACTGAAATATTGGTTCCTGAACAGCTTTTAAAGGTTTTTTTAATACTTTTACTTTTAATATCTTTTGTGCAAAAATGGTCCAAATTGTAAATTAATTTACTCATTTTGCTCCTCATTTAATCTCCTACTGCTATCTGTCCTCTGTGTATGGGAGTAAATCCTCTTTGGACCAGTGCAGCATGGGGGTCTAGAGACATGACCCAGTGTCATCTCTACTGTGGGACTCCTGTTCCTACCTTATTAAAACCCCTGAAATAGTCAGGGTTCAAGAAGCAAGGATCAAAGGCATTACCTTTATGGCTTCTTTACTCCATCCATCCTTTTATCAGGCCTGGTCCATGGCAATGTCCTCTTGCTACATGCATGAGGCATGCCCCCCAGCAGAACAGTTTCCTCCTATAAATTGTCCAGCAGATCTTTAGTTCATTAAAAGCCACTACTGAAACAAAAAAGTCTTAAGGCAAGAGGATTTCAAGTGTTCTGACATCTAGGGGCCCTTGAACAATCGACTATTAAGGACGACATAAACTCTCCTGAAGGATTCAGTCCTGCTCTCCTTTTAGCTGGTAGTAAATCCTGCATTGAATTGAGAGAGAAGAAAATCAGGCTCCAAATCAATGCCCTTTCTTTTTAATCATATTGAATCAGTATTTCTGTAAAAGAGGGTGAATATTCTCTGAACACATCACAATATGCCCTAACTGGAACAGTGGCAACACTGCTTTCCTTCCAAAATGTGAATGTTGCAGCTATGCAGTCTATACTGCTAACTTCTGCAGAGGGACATTCCGTAGAGCTGCTAGGTACTTATAAGGTCCCTATTTTTGGAGTATCTAAGCAACATTAAATAGGCAGATTGTGAATTACTGTACTGTACCATCTGTGGATGGGAGCAATAATCTTGGCGTTAAGCGGCTTCTACTTGTTTTATGATGTGTACACTTGCTTTAAGTTATCACATTGGCAGAGTAATATTGATGTTTCCAGAGTTACCTCTTGCTTTTCATTGCAAAGTTGTGCAAGTTTCTGTCCTTTCACTACTGTGTGACACATGAAAATGGATGTACCATCCTTGTTTTGTTTACTCTGTCCTGGTTTAATTGATAAGGTGGTAGTTTGCTAGACTTTTAAATCGCTCTTTGGTTAGAATATTTCCATATGTTTTACATCAATTAAGTGTTTCCATAACCTTTTTTAAAAGGAATCTTAACCCAATTCCATTTTTCTATTAAATTACATGTTAATTAACTGCCAACAATTTGTTGCCAATTCCAACCCAAACTGAAAAAAGTATTGCAAAGATGGTAAATATCCTTGTAGATGTAGTGGTAGAAAAAATGGTAGAACAAATCAAAGTAGAAAATAATCACATAGGAGAGGAAAATGGGGAGAGAGAGAGAGAGAGAGAGAGAGAATCTGTTGCAGAAAAAAGAGAATTTCTGAAGGTTGATCATAGCCCCAGAATTATACATGATGGGGAACATCCATGTCTGAATCATCAAGTTTGTGATGGCCTTTTGGACTGGACCTCTACAACCTTTTCCTCTGGGAGCAAACTATAACCCTGATGAAACAATTTAGGAGAAAACTACAAGCCCGCTGATTATCCTGGAGTGGGTTGGAGACATATCTGGCCCTGAGAAAAATGTCAGAAGAGGGTAACAGAAAGAGACAAAGGTAGTCATTAATACAAATGTTAAGTGTGAATGTGAAAAGGAAATAGTGTTAAATATACAGGCAGACATCAATAAAAGGTGATCAAAGTAAATGTATAGGTAGAGAGATTAAAGAGGAAAGAATAATGTAGACAATAATGATTTAAAAAATGAGTAAAAAAAAAAACACAGCTCCTAGCTCAGGAGATTAAAATTTGGGGGATAATAGGGAGAAACTTAAAATGATATAAAACAGTAAGAATTGTTCACAGCAAAGAGAATTGATGCATACAAAACATTTACAATACATTAGGCAACTGGGCTTTCAAAGGTCTGCTTATAACTATTTTTGTTAACCTGAAAAATAATCATATTATGAATTTGCCTCATTCCATAGTGAATTGTTGATGACTGTTGGTGGCAACAAATTGTCTTTGATTAGCTGGTGGTGGCTCACTGCCCTGGCACAAAATTTTACTCTTCAGAATTGTTTTTTGCTTTCTAAGAAGTGAAATTGTGCCTAATTACAACAGCATATTTAGCTTTTTAGCCTTATATGTTTGTAGACAATAAGAATTTAAATCATATCACAGTCTGAATTATTTAGATTGTTTGGGAAAATATACATATTGTATTATCAATTAATGACATAAATTGGGGTAATAGGAAATTTGTTAGCTGTGTAGAAAAATCTGCAAAACACAAAGCAGAATTATTTTTCTATGAATGGGAGGGATTTTTCTATATCTTATGGCTTTTCAAGAGCTCTCATTTTCATACATATCTTTCAAACTTAATCATGTTTTTGAAAGAATTCAAGTGTTTACTTATTTTATTCAAAAAGTAAACAAATTAAGTTCAAGCATCACTGAACTGTACAGAAGGTGATTCTTGGATTATAAACTAAACCATGAAAAGTATTATACAAGTTGTATTCATATATTATATTATTTACATAACATAGAGATAGTAAGTACACAATAAATGTAAATTAGATAGAGCAATAGAGAGCTAACTTTATAGCAGATTTGCCTGCAACCTATGTTATTTTTAGAATAAATATAATTTTCAGACAGGAGACTGGGGAGAACCTTCAATTACCTTACGACCACCTAACGAAGCGACAGCATCAACTCCAGTACAGTACTGGCAACATCACCCAGAGAAACTCATCTTCCAGTCATGTGATTATAAAGCATTTGTAAGTATTGGTAAAATCAGTGCTTTGGTTTCTGATAGATTGCATATATATGTGTTTCTGATCATGTTAAATGCTGACAGTGTTGAGTTTTTTAATTTATAATATTTTCCAGCAACAGGAGGTTGTTCTTTATTTTTAATGGACCAAGGTATTTCCTCTGAAACAATTCCATAGTTAATAAATAAGAAGCAAACATCAGAAATATTTTTTGTTTTGGTTCTCTGATGTATTACAGCCCATGCATCTATAGCAACTGAGAAATGATGCTATCCAAGTGACAATGAAAGCAAATGGCACACTTTCTGTGACCATGCCGCATTCCCCAATCTTATAAACTGATGCTTTTATACACACAGCACACAAATTCAGCCACAATAGAATTTTCAGATAGTAAGGTATCTATTACAAAGATGTTACAAACACCGGTAAAATTTCAAGGGCTCATGGCCCCATATCCTACATGTATCAGACAAAAAAAAATGAAATCCATTTCACTTTTCAGCTTTTTTTCCATATTTTTCCTTACAAAGTTTACTAATTGACAGCTATTTGTGTTTAATGAAACTTTTCCTCTCAAAGCTCATCTTACCTTGCGCTTTGATCCAGCAGTGAAGTCATAATCAAATATAACCATTGCCCATTATTTCCATGGCACTAGATGAAAATGTGCATAAACCAAGGATCATGAGTTCTTTGTCCCTGCAGGATCAGTCAGAAGACAGGATATTAAAACACATGGGGCACCAACGTTCTTTTATACACAGACTCTCATTTGGGGTGGAATAAAGGTGCAATGCCTCAGCTGTAGCTCCAGGAGGCTGTGACAAAATCTTCAGGGAGCCCAAGCTGTTGTCACTCTCTAAGAGGATGCACCATTCCTTCTCCTTCGCACCTGGCCACCTGTGCTTTGTCCTCTGCCTTCTTTGGGGCGTGAGCTCTTCCTCCCCTTTGCTGTGAGCACAGGCAGTAGAAGGAAGCTGGATTCTCATCCCTCTGGCTTTCCTGCAGGCAGCATCTGGCCACCTCTGCTCTTCAGCTGGTGTGAGGACCCTTCTCAGTAGCTCATGCTCAAATAAATTGGTTAGTCTCTAAGGTGCCACAAGTACTCCTTTTCTTTTTTCTCAGTAGCTGTTAGCCCCACAGGGTCGCTAGTGGGGAGAGCTGAGCCTGCTGCTGCATGTCTAATAGCACTTTGGGGGTTGGGACTGGCTTTCCCTTCCCTCCCTTGCCCTCCTTCTGCCACGGGCTCTACATTGATGAGGAAAGAGACATTTTTTCCATGCCTGTCTGCCCATGTGAAAGTTTTGGAGGAAATGTTAAGTGGCTGTGCCTGTGCCTTGCTGTCAGAGCAGCACAGGAACCACATTTTGCAGGGGCAGAGCACAGGAGCAAAAGAGCAGGGGCAGTTCCTGTGTGCCCTCTCCTTGGGCCTGTACAAACAGGGAGGCCCAGTCTTGCCCAAACTGTAGATAAGCAATGGGTGAGTCTCCACGTAAAATGGTGCAGCTGTAGCGCTTCAGTAAAGACGCTACTCCACAGATAGGAAAGCGTCTCCCGCTGACGTAGTGAATCCACCTCTGCGAGAGACGATAGCTGTGTCAACTGGAGAAGCCCGCCCGTCGGCACTGCGTTGCTCAGGGGGGTGGATTTTTCCAATACTGATGTAAGTTTATGGTGTTGACCTGGCCTATAACAGCAAAGGGAGCACAGAAAGACGTTAGCTGAGGGCTGGTCTACACTGAAAACTTACATCAGTGTGTAAGAAATCCATGCCCCTGAGAGAAGTAGCTATACCAGCCTAACCCCCGGTATAGCCAATTCTAGGTCAATGGAAGAATTCTTCCGTCAACCTAGCTACTGCCTCTTGGGAAGGTGGATTAAATACAGCGATGGGATAACTCCTCCCATTGCCATAGCGAGTGTCTACACTGAAGCAGACAACACATCTGTACCAGTTTTAAGTGTAAGCATACCCTAAGACTATATGCTTTAGTTTAAATGTTCTTAGATCAAAGGTCGTTCCAATGTGAATGTTCTACCTTAAGGGCCCAATCTTGCTTCCACTGAAGTCAATAACAAAACCCCCATTCACTTCACTGGGGCAGAATCTGGCCCTAACTGGGACTCGATCCAAGACTTAGATAGAATCACAGATGTTTAGCTTATATGCTTCAATTTCAATTTATTTTATAACCTACAATACTTAACTGAATAAAACTAGACTACCGTATATTTATGCAGTTGCACAGGGCTTTCTTACCTTTCTGTCTTAGCTGTAATGCACCAGGTTATGGCCCTCAGTACTGTACTGTGCTCCACTACTATCTATCCTGAAACAAGTGTACATTTTTGCCTTTTTTCAGTCCGCATATCTGTGGCACACAGGTGTGAACTAAAGTCTTTAAAGAGACTCTCTGACTGTAGGCCTAGAAACAGTGTATTTTAAAAAAAGAAAAGGAGGACTTGTGGCACCTTAGAGATGAACAAATTTATTTGAGCGTAAGTTTTCGTGAGCTACAGCTCCCTTCATCGGATGCATTCAGTGGAAAATACAGTGGGGAGATCTATATACATAGAGAACATGAAACAATGGGTGTTATGTGTGTATGGTAACACCCATTGTTTCATGTTCTCTATGTATATAAATCTCCCCAATGTATTTTCCACTGAATGCATCCGATGAAGTGAGCTGTAGCTCACGAAAGCTTACGCTCAAATAAATTTGTTCGTCTCTAAGGTGCCACAAGTCCTCTTTTTCTTTTTGCGGATACAGACCTCACAGCTGCTACTCTGAAACCAGTATATTTTAACTATCTGTGCATATTGATTGGCTCACATCAGCTGCACATAGCTTAGCTTTACTGTCTTCTGCAACTCTATAATTATATACAGTGATGTGATTTTTGCAGATGGCTGCTTTAAAAAAAGTGGTAAATGCTTTGTTTTGCAATCAGATGCAATTTTTTAAGATGGCACTCTGGAGTGCTTTCTGTTTAATTTGAGGAACTACTTGCTGGTACCACTTACTCACTCCCTCTAAATTCATTTGTTAGTAAATGTTCCTGTTTTATACAGAATATGGAGTAGCAACCTCCATTTGAAATTCCAGTATCTCAAAGTATATAGTAAAAAAAAATCCAAATCCTATAATATTTAGGCTACCTACTACTATTCTGGTTTCCTCAGCTTTTTAGCAGTCTTTTGTAGATTTGTCTTTGCTCTGGATTTTAACTACAGAAAATTGAATGTATTCTTATTTTAGTATTTAGGTTCTATGCTGGTAAAAGAGCTTAGAGGCACAGAATCAACACAGGATGCCTGTGCAAAAATGAGGGTAAGTCAATACATGTATATTTTCATGTCTAATAATTGAATTAGTAGGTACTGTTGAGTGAACTAAAGTTACCACTTTATAATGCCACATTATGCATCTATTTTCCTTGAAATTACTTTGGTATTCAACAGAAAGTCCATTCTGCCCTTGATCTTGATTTTAAGTAATAGATGTTTTATGTAAATTTCAATGATCACACTAAGGCTAAAAGATATGTATATATTTGCTTTGTGTGCCAAGTTTGCTATTAATTCTTTGAAAATATTTCAAAGTACTTTTCATACATTTGAGCATGCACATTAGTGAGAATAAATCTTTTTATTTCATTAATGTTATGGCTTGTGCATGGTAATATAAATACAATTTACTAAATGGAAATATATATACTAGTGAATAATTTATTAACATGTTACAAAGTCATTATTTCCTAATATAGAGCACAGTCCTGCAATCACTTCAACATATGAATAACTTTACTTTCATTAACAGTCTCTTTCTGTTAATGAAACTACTCACATATTTAAAATTTTAAAGATCAGGCCTATGGAGATAAATTCTTTTCTACCCTTTTACAGGAAAAAATGGCAGATATTTGCAAACTATTAAGAGCAAGTTTTTATGTTGACCTAGTGCCTCATTCCGTATGCTTAAAGAAATTATTAGGAAGCCCAATTTGGATCTGACAGTCATGATACTATTAGAAACAAAATATAGACAGCCTAGCTATACAATATCTATCCAATTGTAACATATTTTATTATGTGCACATTACAATCAACTGTGTTCTCATACACATGTTAGTCTGAAGTGGTTAAGAATAATGAAGAATATAAGTACAGAGTGATCTATTGCAGATGAAAAACTGCGTGCATGGATGAGTATAATGCATTCATTGATTTATGGATCTTAGCGGCATCATGCATGATACCTCTTCAGTGCTAGATTTAACATTTGTATCTGCTGTGGATCTAGAGAATGTGTAAAACTCATGCAGTCAGACAAACATTTCCTTATTGGTTACATATCTACAGTACACAGGCTTTCACACAAGTTATTCTAGCTAAGGGCTGACAGTAATTTATGCTTTATAAATTGCCTGAAGATCTGTGTTTTTTCAGCTGACTGCATACTAATAATTCTAACTCGCATTGGAAACTCCCCCTCTTGGTGGAAACTCACCCCTTTTTGAAGGACCCACAATCACAAATGTGTGATTTTGGGGGGGCTAGACAAAGGGAGAGTGTACTATCTATAATTTAGGTTTTAAGCCCCTCAAACTCAGTATTAAGTTTGTTTTTCAGAAATATGCATATACAGATCTGAGGGCAGAATTTGGCACCTCAGTAATATATGACATCCTCAATAAATGTATTATATTTGACTCAACTCAGAACAACATCAACATAATTATAAATATGCTGTGGTCAATTTATGAGTATTTAAAATGTGCCATCACTTTGATTCAGATTTAAATTACATTTCTTGAAGATTAATCTTATGAAAATCAGCTGAATAGGAATTTTAGATTTTCCCTGACAGTAACATATAGCTTTATTGGTAAGCTATATGGAACTGATACAATTAAATACTATTCTGTTGCTTTTTAAAATTAAACTCTTTTAAAAACATTTTAGTTTAGACAAAATTCTGCTGATGGTCTTATTTTTCATTGCAAGGAATATTCACATGAAAATAGAATCTTTCTTGCTTAGGATTTCACCTACTCGTGCTTCTTACTCTTTGGGCTTTCTCCTATTCCTATTGAAGTCAATGGCAAAAAAAATCATTGATCTAAAAATCTTTTAATGAAGGAAATTATATCTGGCATTCAAAAATTTCTCCCTCTGTGTGTAGCCCAGTGGTTCCCAAACTGTTGGCCGGTCCCCACAGGGGGCAGGGAGAGCGCCACCCAGCCCTGCTCTGCCCCCAGCTCTGCTCCGCCACCAGCCACAGCCCCATCTCCCAGCCACGGCTCCACTCCCGGCTGCGGCCCCAGCTGCCAGCCCCCACCACAGCCTGGCCACAGCTCTGCCCCAGCCTCGGCCCCCAGCCACAGCTCTGCTCCCAACCCCAGAGCTACAGCCCCAGCCTGGCCCCCTTGACCAGGCTCATGGTGGGGGCACGGACAGGGGTTGGGGGTACATGGCCATGAAAAGTTTGGGGACCATTGGTGTAGCCTAACTGTTGGCATCTGTGATTTAGAGGGATCAAATTGTCCTAAGCCATCCTGGGTCCTAACCTTGTTCATTACTGTATTTTATGCACCATTAGGTTTATTTATTCTTCTATTATGGTTCTATTTTGCTTTAATTAAAATGCACTAAGAAGATGTGACATTTAATGTATATTTGATTTTCTATCGGGTACCACTGGTACACCCTCGTTAAAGTTAGAATGATTACATTGATGTAACAGAGAACAAAATTTGGCCCGTTGCCTTTAACTCATATTTTTCCTTTTACATTCGCTAAGCCTGTAACATACTTAAGTTTATGCTATAAATGAACTAAGTGTTAGTTATTCCTTATGGAGTCTGGCAGGTCTTGCTTTTGGAAAAGGATCTGTGAAAATTAGGTGCCTGGAATTTTCCTTAGTGTGGTTTGTGTTGCTTACCTTTGGCCTTATTCTGTTACAAGGAATTTTGATATTCCCTTGATGAATGTTATCTTCCCATCAGTAGATGCCCAACTTGATGATCACTTTAGATAAGCTATTACCAGCAGGACAGTGGGGTGGGAGGAGGTATTGTTTCATGGTCTCTGTGTGTATATAATGTCTTCTGCAGTTTCCACGGTATGCATCCGATGAAGTGAGCTGTAGCTCACGAAAGCTCATGCTCAAATAAATTGGTTAGTCTCTAAGGTGCCACAAGTACTCCTTTTCTTTTTGCGAAGTCTGAGAAAGACCCATCAGGAGGAAAAGTGTCTTAGTCTTCCTTAACCCTTCATGGAATCAGGAAAATTAGGGATGGACATAACCTACTTAGTATGTGATCTGATTTATCCCCTGCCCATGCTGGATTATTCCCTACAGTACATTTTCTAGTTGTTTGTGTTTCTAGTTCTGAACCTGGGGGTCGCAAGCACCAGGTCCAAGGGACTGGCAACCACTCTCTCTTGTTTATGTTGTAACATGGGGTTGCAGTATAGAAGAGATCAGAACCACTGTTTTATTAGGGATCCCTTTTTTGGTCACCCATTGTGCTTTTCAGGTTTTATATCCTAGTAAGTCAGGTGATGAATTTGTTGGGGAAAAAACTCTTCAGGGGCTTCTGGAAGTGATTTCAGCATGGCGCTCCCACTGAAATTTTTGATTGCTTGCTTGCATCTGCAAGCTTATCGCTGCTCTTGCATTCATCCAGAATTATGGACATTTGGCAAGAACTGCACCCATGAGAAGGATTACTTTTTTCTCCCATCCACATAATTTGATTGGATTGGATTTATTTTTTATGTCTGCCTGTTCAATTTCAGATGACTTCTCTTACAACATCTCTCCCTCCTTCTGCAGACCACAGCACACTCTCCTTATCTTCTTTCCACACCTGCTATAAGATGACCTTTGGTATTTCAAGATTAAATTTTTCTGTCCTGGCCCAAGATGCTTTTATTAATTATATTGAGAGATACATCCAAGAATTTAAGGACTTTCATCCAGCTCAGAATGAACTGGGAGATAGTAAAAGCTGTTCTTTTAGATTTATTGCCTTTGCTTCAAATCTCTGTAAGAACAGGAAGACAGAATAGGATGCCTTTGCCTTTGAAAAAGAAGTCTCCTATCTGGAGCTGGGCAGAGTCCTGTTTCTACACTAGGCTCACACTGGTGTCCACATATCTGAATTCCTTGAATATTGACTACACCAAGAGGGCACTATGTTATACTTACTACCAATTCTGTGAGCACAAAAGTAAGGGGGCTACTTCACTGCCAGTAATCTAAAAAACCCTAAAGTTGCACAACCAAATCATTCAGATTCTAAACAATCCGATCTACAGGGGCATTTGAGAGGATATATGAGAGGATATATTCTTTGGATCCCAGGGCCTCTCTAGACAATAGAAAGAAAGACTTTTCTGGATATGGGGATATGAAGAATCAAGGTTCTAGGGTCCCGATTCAACAAAGTGTGTGCTTAAATGCTTTGCTGAATTGGGATTTAAATACTAGTAGTGTCACACAGCTCAGTCCTTCCATCTTCAGTGATAAGGATAAGCAGAAGGTGGCCTTTCTCAGCTGATGTACCTTATATGAAATGGAGAAATGGAATAGACAGGGGCAGCCTGTCAAGGCCCAAATCTTTTCCTCCCCTCCATGTAAAGAGGAGAATTTGGATGGAGATTGTGGCCTCTTGGACTCAGTCATTCCTTCCCCCCCAAACAAAAGTGAGATAAGGAGATCATTTCCTCTCCCCTACATGTGCCAGCCATTGGAGCTGGCAGGGCATGCGGAGGGAGGGGAGGAGAATCCCACATGCTAAAAAAGTCTTTAAAAAGTACTTCCTAAGTACCCCTGCCACTCTCCCCTCTTCTACCACCCCCACATGGGATTTAAGCGATGTCATTGCCTAAAATGTGGGTTCTGTAATTTCATCTACTAGAGCATGAAACTCACATATTAGAGCTGTGTTTGTATCTTAGAGGGCTAAGATAAACAAAATTGATTAAAAAAATCATACTTGACAACTTGAGGCAAAAGGGCAGCATTTGTCAGATGCCTATAAAAGGTATTTAGCTCCGTGTGATTAAACTGGCTTGTGCAAAATATGATCTCAATCGGAGGCTGAATGTGTTTTGTTCGGGCTCAAACAAAAACAATGAATATGAAGAATGAGCGGGAAAATTGTTAGTGGCACAAGTCAGTGCTCATCAAGCACCATGAATAATACCCATCATTATCACATCAGATGGCAGATTTGTACGTAGTTTGTCAGGTATTAACTAGAGAGTTTCTGTATTCTTTATTTTTAAAAAAACTGTATGAATCAGAAATAAATGGTGACT